CATTTGGCGCCCCCGCCCCGCCCCGGCCCGCCCCGCCCCTCTCGCATGCAGGCCCAGTTCGCCACACTCGGCATTCGCTTCCCCCTGCCGAAGAAGGAAAAGCCCAAGGAGCCGGTGGAGACGGACATTCGTAAGAACGTGGCCCGTCTGCAGGAGGCCGGGACCATTCTCACCTCCGGAGACGTGCCAATGGGCGAGCCCCTGCAGCCGCGTCTGCCCCCCCTTCGCGACCAGCTCCTTTTTTCCTCGTCCCTCATGGAGGAAATCAGTGCCATGCCGCGCGACTCGAACACCATGGCCCCCAGCACGACCCTTCCGCGGACCACGGCGGCAGTCCTACGCGCCCAGGCCATCCTCTCCAGCGGGCTGCTGGACACTCGCGTCCGGGATCTGGCCTCCGCGGCCCCCGGCAGCGTGCCCTATGCCGACATCATCAGCCGCATGGTCAAGGACACCGAGCGCGCGCAGCTGGTCGTCAGTGAGCGGACCCCTCTCCAGCAGTGGCTCTACTCCCGCGTTGCCCTTTTCGGGCCGTCCACTGTTCACTTTGTGTCCGGCAGCGCCGAGGTGCGTCCCCCTTGGCGGCCGATCGTGTCTCGCACACACCGCCATGGCCCGCCACACCAAGGCCCATGCGCAGGCGCTCCTGCTCCTGTTGGCCGGTCCCCATGCCCTTGGAAATGCGGCGTCCATGCGCTCGCCTCTCCCTCGCTCCCTCGCGCGCCCACCCCTCCTGACCGCCTGTCTTTGCCCCTCGCTTTGCTGGGGCTCTCGGCTGCCATCACAGGAAGAGAAGCTTCTCTCGGCCCGGTGCATTGCCGATGGCACCATGAAGCCGCTGAACCCGAAACTCCGGCCCAACTGCTTCATTGCCCTGACCGACGCGAAGGACGTGGCCCGGTGCGTCTACAGGGTGTCCCATTCCTCCCTCATGTCTAGGCCTCCCTGCCCGCCCTACTTCCCGGCTGATCTTCATGCCGCCTGTGGCCATTCCCAAGATCACCCCTCCATCTTGTCCTGGCACATTGCCGTAAGAGCCCGCACTAACACAACCGTGCTGTGGGGGGGAAAAAAAAGCTCCGAGGAGTCGACTTTCGTCTGCCCGGTCGACAAGAAGAATGCCGGACCGACCAACAACTGGCGCAGCCCGGTTGAAATGAAGGCCGAGCTGAAGGCCAAATTCAACAAGTGCATGGAGGGTATGTGGAAATGCCGGCCGATGCCTGACTGGCCCCCCTCGCCTCGCATTCCCGCCTGTAGTACTTGCCGCCCTCGCACCACTAACCATCCTTTCCCCTGGCTCCAGGCCGTACCCTCTATGTCGTGCCCTTCCTGATGGGTCCCAAGGGATCGAAGCTGGCCCGCGTGGGTGTGCAGCTGACCGATTCCCCGTATGTCGTGTTGAACATGAAGCTCATGGCCCGCGTTGGCCTGGATGTCTTGGAGATGATTCCCAGTGACTCGGCGGCTGCTGATGCCGCTGCCCGGCACCCGCCCGAGCCGGCGCGCGACCCGTCCGCCAAGTTCCCCCAGCAGAAGCTCGGCTTTGTGCCTTGCCATCATTCGGTGGGTGTCCCTCTGCACGAAAGTTCCAAATCCACCCCGTGGCCATGCAACATTGACAAGGTACGTGTCTTCCTCGATGGGAGAGCCTTGCTGCTGCGAGGCTGTGTGTGTGTGTGTGTGTGTGTGTGTGTGTGTGTGCGAGTGCGAGAAAAACACACACACACACGCACACACACACACACACAGCCTCGCACACACACACGCACACACACACGCACACACACACACACACACACACACACACACACTCTCTCTCTCTCTCTCTTTGCCTGTCTCTCGTTCTGCTTCCCAAGTGTCTTCTCTCCGCCTCGCCCCCTTGCGGATATGGTCGACGACTTGATGGACTCACAGGTGGAACTCCGACACCCCCCCCCCACAATCGACAGCGTGTGATCGCTCACTTCCCTGACAGCCGGGAGATTTGGTCCTTCGGGTCCGGGTATGGCGGGAATGCCCTACTGGGCAAGAAGTGCCTGGCCCTGCGCATTGCCAGCGCCATCGGCCGAGAGGAGGGCTGGTTCGCCGAGCATATGCTTATCCTTGGCCTGACCAGCCCCACCGGCAAAAAGCACTACATCGCCGCGGCCTTCCCCTCGGCCTGTGGCAAGACCAACTTGGCCATGCTCCGGCCGTCGCTGCCCGGATGGTCGGTCAGTTGCGTTGGCGATGACATTGCCTGGATGCGCTTCGACAGCTCCGGCCAACTGCGTGCCATCAACCCGGAGCGGGGGTTCTTCGGCGTGGCCCCAGGCACCTCGGAGCTGACCAACCCCTCGGCCCTGGCGGCCCTGCGCCGGGACACCCTCTTTACCAACTGCGCCACCACCATGGACGGCGATGTCTGGTGGGAGGGGCTGACGCCCTCCCGGCCGGAGGGGCTGACCACCTGGCAGGGGACCCCCGGTGGCACCCCCAACGCCTTCGAGTCCCTTGGCCCGGCGGCCCATCCGAATGCCCGGTTCACCGTGTCGGCCGAGCGCTGCCCCTCGCTGGACCCGGCCTGGCAGGATCCGGAGGGGGTGCCCATCAGTGCCATTGTTTTTGGCGGCCGCCGGGCCAGCACCGTGCCTCTGGTGTACCAGTCCCGGAGCTGGGAACATGGTGTTTTCATGGGGGCCACCCTGTCCTCGGAGCGGACCGCCGCCGCCGAGGGGCAAATGGGGGAAGTCCGGTGCGTTGACTTTTCGGACCTTGCCACTGCAAAGACGCCAGCGGCAGCTAAGGCGGCCTCGATTGCTGCTTCGCCGCGCTTTCGCCTCCACACACACGCACACGCACACGCACACGCACATGCTTATGCACGTTAATATGCATACACGTATGTATGCAGGCCCAGCGAATGCTGACAGATTCTCCCTGGCGATGACCACAGGTTTGACCCGTTCGCCATGCTGCCTTTCTGCGGCTACCACATGGGCGACTACTTCCAGCATTGGCTGGAAACCCCGCGCCGGCAGAATGCCAAGCTGCCGCCGATCTTCCATGTGAACTGGTTCCGCCGTGGTCCAGGCGGCAACTGGCTGTGGCCCGGCTTCGGGGAGAATGCGCGTGTGCTCCGGTGGATCGCCGGCCGCATCGAGGGCACTGCCAGCTCGCACGAGACCCCGATCGGCTTTGTGCCGACGCTGGCCGAGCTGGGCGTGACCACGCCCCCGCCCCGACGCGCGGGCGGCGCGCACATCGCTTCGGACGTCCTGCAGACCGTCGACGCCCAAGGCAACCCGCTGCTGAGCCTGGTCCCGGGCACCGAGGCCGATCTGCTGCGTGTGGATCGGGATGAGTGGCGCGCCGAGGTGGATCGCATTGCCCGGCACTTCGAGACATTCGGCGACCGGCTCCCGACCCAGCTGTCGCAGGAGCTGGAAACTCTGCGCACCCGGACCGGCTAAAGGCGCTCGAAGCAGCAACCGGGACCAGCTTGGGAGATCTGGCGATTGGCCACTGGGGGGAGAAGGCACCGCGTTGTCCAATGGCTGCCCGGCCTCCTGCCTGAGGGGCGTGGCTTGGAACGCAATCTCGCAAGGGCAAAGTAACAGAGAGACCATGGCACCACCTGTCTCCCCCCCCCCCCCCAGCGGGCTGACCATCCACGTTTGTGTGCGTGTGTGTGCGCATGTGTGTGTGATCAGGCACGCGCACCATTCTATGTATAATAGACTGCCACACAGGAGCCAGGGGACAGGCATCAGGGGAGAGAAGAAAGAAAGGAAGACGGGGAACAAGATTTATACACAAGGGAAGAGAGATTGGGAAGAGGAGGAGGAGAAGGGGAGGAGAGAGAGAGAGAGAGAGAGGTCACATGGCAACATCTCAGAGGGAGAGGGACATCTACAAATCTGGCAGGTCCAGCGACAGGTCGGTCTGGGGGATGGAGAAGACCGGCTGGGCCTTGAGCGACGACGTGTCTGGCCAGACGATGGCCAGCGCCCGGCGGATGAGGATGCTGACCAGGTAGTACCAAATGTATGCCGAAACGCAGGGGGTGCCATCGGCGGTCAGCCGATCGGACCCGGCGCCGAAGCCCAGAACCCAAATGAACCACCGAGGGGAAGACTGGAGCACGGGCAAGGGCACAGGGAAGGCCGCGTGGCTCGGGGCAAAGAGCATAACAATGTAGTACATGACGAAGCGCAGTGCGAAGGCCAGCACCAATGACAGGACAGTGACACTGGACGTGCTGATGATGGTCGACTTGGCATGACGGGTCTCTACATGGGTCGAGCCGGTGAGTATGTGCATCGGTGGTGGGCTGCAGATGGGCGGCGAGGGGAGAAGGGGGGCGAGGGAAGGGGGGGGGGGGGGGGGGGCGAAAGGGGAAGAAATCCGGGCGGCGGAAAGCGACTGGACGCACTGGCCTCGCGGTACTCGTCAATGGCCTTGTCCGAGCGGCGACGCGCACGGGCCCACTGGGCAAACTGCTCCTGCGCGCTGAGCTTCATCAGCTGTGCCTTGGCGGTCTTGTATTCCTGGCTGCGGAAACGCAGGACGGCCTGCGAATCCGAGGGGTCCAGCTTGGAGGCCGTCTCCTCAGCCGTGGGGTTCTGCTTCGGATCCAGGTTGGTCTTGATCGGGGCCGGGGCGCCGAGGAGGAAGTTCACCACATACCGTGAAAGGTACTGGCTGGCAGACTGAGAGACAGGCCAGAAGGCCACGCACTCGACAGCCGCGAGAATGGTCACCAGGGTGGCCGTAAGGTATGTCGAGTCCATCTTCTCCGGCGAAAGGGGGGGGGAGGCGCGAGGAGGGTGGGAGAGAGGGAGGGAGGGGAGGGAGAAAGAAGCAAGGAGGAGCAAGGAGGGGGGTAGGACTGCGCTGCGGTCCGGCCCGAGGCCCCAGGGGGTGATCGGGCAGCCTTTTGTCAGGGACACTTTCCAGGGGGGTGATGCGGGGTCACCGCCGCGGGGCAGATCTGACGGTGTGCTGTCCCTGCAGCTCCCCCACCCTCCAGCCCCCCCCCACCCCCCCCTGGTATTCTGCCTGCCAGTCCTCTGTTCTCCTCCCATGCGGACGGTCCCGGGCAGGATGCTGCGTGTCGTGTTTCCCTTCGCTCCTTCAAGCTTGGCCGCCCCTGACACCAGACACGGCCCTGCCCTCCTCTCGTCGGCCCCCTCTGTCCAACTGGACGGTGAAAGGGCGCCTTCTCGCTAATGTCCCCCAAGGAGGGGCCCCCCACGCCCGGCTGCCCACTCCTCTCGAAGACATTCTCCCCGCTGTCCGGATCAACTCATCACCAAGTCGCGCGGCGATACATTGGACTGAGGAAGAGAGGGTTGTCGAGATGGTCGGGGACGAAGCATAGATGCCGGGCACGTGTGATGGTGGCGTGATCACGCACCACTTGCCACCGCATTGTCCGAGGCCTTTTTTTCCCAAACGCGAGGGCGCAGGAGGCAACGGGGGAAAGGGCTTGCTCGGGTAACACGCACACGCACACGCACAAGCACACACGCACACGCACAAGCATGCACACACGCACACGCACAAGCATGCACACACGCACACGCACAAGCATGCACACACGCACACACACAAGCATGCACACACACGCACACACACGCACACACACAAGCATGCACACACGCACACACACAAGCATGCACACACACGCACACACACGCACACACACACACACACACACACACACACACACAAGGCAACAGAGGGTCGATCATGGATGCAGATCTGTTGGATAGGCGACTTTTTTTCTTGGGTTTTGGGAAGTACAAGGACGGGGGAGAGGAAGATAGGTATGGCCGAGTTGGTGGGACTGTCTAAATGATGAAATGATGCGATGCCTCATGTCGTTTGCCCGCACAGGGTATGTGCGCGCGTGTGGGTGCGTGTGTATGTAATATGTGCACGCGTATGGCGAGGGGCCTCGACATGGGAGAGGGGAGGCGCGACTGCGCCATTGTGGCCAAGACCAAGGCGAGGCGGACATCCTTCCTCGTCCGTGAGAGTGCCGCAAGGGAGAAGCAGGCAGTTCATCCACGCAGAAAGACGGCGGCGACGGCAGCGGCAGTGGCAACGACAGGACCCCCTTACTTGGTCTTGGACCAGGAGAGGATGCGGCTCTCGTGGTTCCGGGGAAGCTTGGTGAAGTGGGGGATCTTGTGCAGACCCTTCAGGCCGGAGGGGTTGCTCGGGGTCATGCGGACCTCAACGAAGTACTTCTCGCGCGGGGTCTTCGGCAGGGGCGCCATGTTTTTCTGCGAGCAGCAGGCGAATCGCAGGAGGAGCACACGTGCAGAGGGGGGGGGGGGGGGGGGGGGGGATGGGCGGCACGGAAGGAAAGGAGAATTCCGAGCATGGACGGCGCAGAGGAGGGTAAGTCTTGGCGCATGAACAAGCATCAGCAGATAACCGCTCCAAGTGGGCTGGGCGACGTACCAGGGCATGGAGCTCAGGGTGGACAGAACGGACGGCGGCAACGGTCTTCTCGATCATGGCAAGCCGATCACGCACATTGGCCTTACGGGAGTGGTTCAGCTTCCAGGGGATCTTGCTGTGGGGGTGGGAAATGAAGCGGGAGGGGCGGAGGGGACGAGAGGGGGCCGGGGGCCGATCGACCAGGGGAGATCCATGAGTTTGGTCAGTCAGATATCGGGCTGACCGGCGGAGAGAGCATCAAGCAGGTGGCAGCCCGACGGATCGGCCCTCCATGCAGCGTACTGGACAAGACCGCCGGAAGCGGGGAAGCTAGAACGGAAAGCGCCGAAGCCGGCAAGGAGGAAGGACATGGTCTTGGGGGTGGAGGAAAGGGGGAGGGGGGAGGGGAGAGGAGAGAGAGAGAGAGGGGAGAGGAGGGGAGGGGGGAAATGGAGCTCGCAATGGACGCGACTATGGTTCCCCCCTTCCCCTCAGCTCTTCCCGACGCAAGTGGCCGAAAAGGGGTGGCAGAGGGGCCACCCGGCGGATTAGCGCAAGGAGCAACGGGGTGGTGATCGCCTGCCGGCCCTCGCCGGGTCCGGGATCCCGGCACATCCATCCCCGGGCAGGCGAGGAGGATCAGGTAGGCATCGCGTGTGTGTGAGAGTGCGTGTGCGCGTGTTGCACATCTCATTCTCCCACCTTCGGTGCTGTGGCCCCCGGGGCGGGGCTGGCGGCCGTGGGCCGAAGCAAGGGCGCCAGTAACATAAACGATGTTCCGAGAGCATGTGGGTTCATTTTCCATCATGTGATTACGGAGCCAATCGAACTCCCAGCTCTTCGCGCCCGATGTTGAGCAGTTTACGGCTGGTGTTCATTCTGTCAGGAGTCTGTTTTCTTTTTTGCCTCAATCACTCGGGCTGCCAGTCAGACACTGACGTATGGGGGCGGCGCGCGAGGCGCCTCCCCCTCCCCTGCCCCGCTGCCGTGCTGGCCCTCCCCCGCTCACCAAACCACCCACGCCCTCCGGGCCGCGGCCACGGGAGTTCATACCCGACCTGCCCCTCCGGCCCCTCGTAGATGCGGCGCCTCGCTTAACAAGGTCGAAAAGGCCGGCTTTTGCGAGGCGCACGCCCAGCATGTCTGCAGCCCCCCGGCTCGGAAGGCTACCCGGAGGAGGGTATTCATACAAAGATGATTTGGATGATCAGTCGCCCGCCGGGGGGGGGGGGGGGAACCGTCAGGAACGCCCCCCCCCCCTCCCCCTCCCCCCGGCCGTTTGCCGCGCTGGGCTCCTCTCTTAATCAGGGTGCCCTGCCGGCTCGCGGTCGAGGGGAGGGAATGACCAGCCGGACACGCCTACACCTCTCTTCAGGCTCCAATAAGGCCTGCGGGGCCCGGCGGCCAGGTAGGGCGGTGACTGCCAGCGCCTCCGCGCATTCTGGCCCCCAAGCCACAGTCACCGCTGGCACAACCCTGCACACTAGACTCTCCATCTTCGTCGCAGAATAGACGGCAGACAAGGAGCCGATCCGCGACCCATCCAACCCCCCCCCCCCCCCCCCCCGGACGGGGATGCACCGACATTTGGTCTTTCCATTTTTTGCCGAGGTCTACGGGTTTGGAAGTGCTCCCGGGAGATTCGGTGCCCTGCCCCATTCCGAGGATCCCACCCCCCGCCCCGAGCCTTGTCCCAGGGGGGGGGGGGGGCCCTCCCTCGCCCAACGCTCCCCGAACAAGCCCGCCCGAACAAGCCCAGCTCCACTCAGATTGGGACCTCATAGCTTCCCAAGGCGCCTGTCCCCCCACCTTCGGAAGCCCCCTGCCACCTCAGGCAGGCCGATCGTCCCTCCGCTCCTGAAAACAGAAGTTCGGCCCTCCCGGATCGCCGAGCCGCCTGTCGCATCGCTCTCCCCTTCCTCCCTCCCCCCTCTGCCCCATCC